ATTATATATATATATATATATATATATATATATATATCCTAACTATTTTATTTGCTGCTTCGTTACCCAATAGTCAACGTGCCCGGTACCAAATAAGCTGTTAACATATATCAGTTATCAAAACCATGCTCAAAACAAAACCAGATAAACTTGATATCAAAAAAAGTATTATTGAAAGCTCTATGTTTTTGACTCCTGCCTGGCTTATGAATGATTGCAGTAAGCACAGAACACAGTTGTTAGCTTTTATGTTGCTTATTATACTTCGCGAACATAGTCGTGCCAAATGGTCGATATTGAATTGTGTGACATTATGATAATTGTGTCATATTCGCCAGCTAGAAATTGCACATAGTCATGCTCTGAGAAGACTTTTCAAAGTACCATGGTATATTAGGACAAATGACATCCTCAGGGACCTCAAGATTGATCCCATCAAAAAATACATAAAGGATAGAGCCCTGAAATTATTTGTGAAAACTGACAAACTTACCAACACCGCGTTATCAAATCTCAGAATGGTTACAGGCTCCTCGGGGAGGTATGCAGATCTGAGGTCATTTATTGTTTAGTCTAATGAAGTGATAAACAATAATCCCATCAAGGCTTAAAGAGGAGTTTTACCTCGAGTTAAGAAAGACTAAAAGTGCTCAAGTACACTGGCTTAAATAGAAATAAATAATAATATTTTTTATTTATTTATTTTTTTTATTATTTATTTATTTATTTCTCCAATGTCCTTCGTCGTAAGAACCAATTTACTAACTCCACAACGGAATTTGAAAAGGCATTTGATCGCTACGGAAAACACCGAATTCTTAATAAATGTATGTCTACTGAAGCAAGTAGTATGTCTGTAAATTTGTATTTTGATTTACAGTTTTAAATTGAAACCAAAACAGGAAGTGATTAAAATCAATGGTAAAGTAATTGAAGCGCATAATTATGTTTTTAAACAACTATATACCTTACTGGTATAACGAATGGACCTGCACCAAATCAAATCAAAATTCAAACTTTTTTGCTTATAATGTCTTAATATTGGATGCAAAATTGATACAAACATACTTACATACCTACGTAGTTGGTCATTACAGACGTGGATCGTCCTTGGCCGCTTCGAATTGCCTCCGCCAGCCAGCCCGATTAGTTGCTTGTTCTCCCTAGTCGGTCGTACCGAGCGCCCCAAATCGTTGGTCATCTGGTCCTTTCACCGAAGACGCGAACGTCCTCTACCGCATTTTCCCTCTATGGGTGCCGAATCAAACACCTTTGTACCCTGAGCTGATCAAGCCAGTCAATGTCGCGGTATAGCTCATACAGTTTATCGTTTCATCTAATTCGATACTTGTCGCCAACGCGTGAGGAACCATTAATCTTCCGAAGAATTTTTCTCTAGAATGATTGTAACACCTTCTAATAACTGTTGGAAATTGTCCAAGCTTCCGCACCATATAGTAGGACAGATATGATAAAAGACTTGAAGAGCGTGATTTTTGTTTGTCGAGAGTGATTCTTTGGCAAGAGTGATTCTTCGTTGACTGTCTGTTTGGTGTTTACGATAGTTTCCAAATAAGCAAAGTTTTCACAACTTTGAACTTATAATTGTCAAAAGGATGTGAAAATAATAATTAATTTTTTTTTTTAAATCTTAAGTATCGTAAAAATGATTTATTTAATGATACTTTGGATAGTATCCTACTAATAGTTTTCCAGGTGGGTTATAAAGGTGGTTTAATATCTAGATAATCTGAATATATAATTATGACCTAAATTTTCAATTTCCTTTTCAATTGTAGTGATCATTTTTCACATTCCAGATGCTCTACAGATACTTTTTAACGTTTTTGATTGCTTTTTATTGAAATCTGCCTATAGTTGAGTTTGAAGTAGTGTCCCATAATTGCATGGTATACGTCCAGAACATGATATCATTGAATTAAATATAAACATTTTGTTATTTAAGCCAAGTTTAAAATGATCTTTTTAAAACTCAACTAAAACCAATAACCACTGTAATGAAGGGGTTAGAATATTATCTAGGCAAGGCACGCGTATCGTAAGAGGCGACTAAGATCCGCCGTTAATACAAAACTATTTGGAGTGTGAATGGTAGTGAGTGAAATCCATTTGCGACATCTGATTGGACGTGTATATCTTATACCACGGGGTCAGTACCCGCAGTTTCGGCTGTCTTGACTAATTAAGGTTGTATCGTGATAGCTGTGGTTAAGACTCAAATTTACGCAGGAAGATTGATGGTACTTATTTACTTTAATTCGGCGTGGAGTTACGTTTCCACAACTGATGCTGTGTCACAAAGATCAGCTGAGGTTGGATGGGTCTCGGTTTTTACCAACGTAACTAGCATCAAGGAACTATGGTACTCTTATATGGGTACCGGAACATGAAGGGCATGAGGGCAATAAAACAAAAGACTCCCTAGCAAAGAAGGGTGTATGCACTCCTTTCATTGGTCCAGAACACTTCTTCGGGGTAACAAATAGCTTCACAAATAACTTATTATGTGAACGGGAAAAATAAAATCTACTTGAACACTGGAGAGCCCAAACAGGCATGCGGTAGATTCACTGATCCTGAACACATCAAAGTTGACGCTATATTTAATCTCAGCAGAAACAATATTAAAATCTACACTAAACAGGACACTGTAGACTTAATTACCACATGAAGATTATAGGTGCGGTAGAAAATGATTCCTGTCGACTCTGTCATGGGGTGAAGGAAACATCAGAACATATTCTATGCAACTGCCCAGCGGTGGCAAGACGTAGATTCGACTACTTTGGAAGTGGGATCTTAGTTCCAAATCAAATAGGTAAAATTAAGTCCACAGCAATTATAAGATTTAAAAATAGTTTAGAAGTGTTTTAGTTGGGCCTTTTGGCGCCCAATCGATCTTTTATGTCGGGGTGCATTCATAGCCTTTTATTTAATAATAATCGATCCATAAATTAAAACTTAAATTAAAACTTAAATTAAAGCAAAATGCACAACCAACCACACTTGTGTATTTCGTTTTGATTTAAATTCTTACGGCACATATCGATTAACTGAGAACTTTAGCTTGTTTGAGGTGTGAAATATTAATAAAAACATTTTCTCAATAATATTTTTAATTTTCTATAATATTTTTTTATAACATATGTTTAATTGCTTTAATGACTAAATATTTATAATAATAATTTTGTTAATTTTTTAAGGGGCTAATTGGTCAGTATTTGAATAATAAACTTTTTGAAAAATTGTATTTGTTTTTAAAATTTTTTTTATTTAAACCGATATTTCGACTATATTCTACCCCTAATACCCCTACCCATTAGTAATGATGAACATAGAATATAGTCGAAATATCAGTTTAAATATAAAAATATTGTAAAAAACAAAAACAATTTTTTAAAAAGTGTATTATTATTTAACTATTGGCCAATTAGCTTAATTTATTAATTTATGTAGGCCGTGTGCGAGTTCGAGTAAAGTAAATTAATAATTCCTAGAAATTTTTTTCACTGCACTTATGTAAATATTTATTTATTTATTTATTGCACTTATTTATTATTTTTGGTTAAAAGTTTTCAAATTTATTTATTAAATATCTTATCAAATTTTCGCAATGGTAACACCTAATATATATATGTAATTCAGCCTATTCGAAATTCTGGTAAATACCAACATTCGCTGCCATACCGATTAATGTACTACTTCCCAGAATTTACCATCAATTTACGCGAACTCACACACGATCGTACACTACTCAAATGTAAACAAAATTAGTTGCTTGCGTTTGGACTAATTGCACTTAAGAGTAGAGCGAAATTTACATTTTATTTCTGTTTAAGTTCTTATGGTACGTACCGACTAACTCAACCTTAAGGAAGTCTACTACATTTTGCATTTTGCGTAAAAGAGCAAAAGTAGCAGTGGGAGACAAACTTCTGATCTATCAGGGAAACTTAAAAGAGAAAAACAATATCTTATATGTTTGATTTGCATAAAAGAATATAAAGAACAATTATTTATTTTGAAGCTAGTTGAGTCAGTGCACTTGAGCACTTTTACTTTCTATTAACTGCGAGGTTTCTTCAAAATCCCTCTCTACGTCTTGACTGGATTATTGCTTATCATTTCATCAGACTAAGCAATAACTGAACTCAGATCTGCATAACACCACGAGGAGCCTGTAACCATTCTGAGATTAGATAACGTGGTGTTGGTAGAGAACAATGTTTTCTATGATTTGTAATAAATTGAAAAGATGAGATAAAACTTTTTAAACGTTCTGTACTATATAAATTGAGAAAAACATAATAACTTCAATTCTGAAAACTTCAAGAGAACTATGTTTTGCATGTTCTGTCAAGACAATTAAAAAGAATTATAATTAAATTAAATTACAATTAAATTAAAGAATTAAATTAAATTAAAGAATTATATTTTAAAAACAAAAGTTAAATTTTTTTTTCAAAAGCATAAATTGGGCGCTTTTCTAAAAATTAAGAGTAGATTGTAGTTTAATTATAAACAAAATAAAACAAAAAAAAAAAAAAACAAAAACAAAAACAAAAACAAATTATGCGACTTTGCACATTGGCATATTGCGCACTTTAAACAATTTTCAACAAAATTGCGGCAAACCAAGTCTAAAACATTGAATTCTGTTTATGGCGCATTTGTTAAAACGAAAAAGAAAAAAAAAAGTAGCAAATATGTTTTAACGTGCATGCATGCCAAATACAAAAACAAATACGTATTGCACAAAATAAAACAAAAAGAAAAAAAAACAAAAAATGACAAAAAGTTGAATAAATAAACTTTATTGGTTTATACTGCAAAAGCTCCAATGCAAAAGAATGCAACGCAAAAGCAGCGAACGAAAAAGCTTCTTTCGTCAAAAATGCATATAAGTTGGCAAATGCAACACAATATTAGCAAACACAGCAACAACAATAAGAACAACAATAAAAACAACTGTGATAACAACAACAACAACAGCAACAACAGCAGCGGCAATGACAGCAACAACAGCAATAACAGCAACAGTAGCGAAACAACAACAACAATTACAGCGAAATAGTTAAAACAGCTATTAAGGCCGACGCAGAGTAAC